GCATAAATGAACGAATGACTGCATAATTAAATAAACTGGTATTTTCATATAGTTTAATACTCTATCACACTGAAATGAAGCCACCTAGTGCTTCATCAAACAGTGAAATACTGTAAGCCATCTCTGAAAAGAGAACTTCACAATTCCCTGTTCAGCAGAAGGGGAGATCAAAAACTAACTAAATAAAGCGTATAACCATAATATCATTTATAGCATATCGAAAACAGGTAAAACTCAGGGTAAAACTCAGGACGCCTGGGTGGCTCAGTGGTTGAGCATCTGTCTTTGGCTCAGGGCATGATTCCAGATTCCTGGGATCGAGTCCCACATTGGTCTCCTTGCATGGAGCCTGTTCATCCTCTGCCTGTGTCTCTGCCTCTCTTTCAGTCTCTCATGAATAAATAAATAAAATCTTGAAGAAAAAAAAAAAAAAAGAAAGAAAGAAAACAGATAAAACTCAATGTAATGGACACAGGATAATCTTTTCAAAATATAATGGAAACAATACAACAGTCACATGCAAAAAAAAAAAAAAAAAAAAAAAAAAAGAACCTCAACCAGTATCTGAAACCTTACAGAAAAATTCCAAAAGAATCAAAAATCTAAACATAAAAGATAAGGGCACCTGACTGGTTCAGTCAGTGATGCATGTGATTCTTAATCTCAAGGCTCTGAGTTCAAGCCCCACAGTGGGTGAGCTTAAAAACAAAATTCAAAAACAAAAAATAAAATAAAATAAATGTAATAGGTAAAACTTTAAACTTTCAGAACATAGGAGAAAATTTGTGTGACCCTGGATTAGGCAGAGTTATTATGACCACAAAAGCACAATCTATATGAGAAAAAAGTTAGTACACTGGACTTCACCAAAATCAAGAACTCCTACCCTTCAAAGGGTATTATTAATTAAAAAAAGAAGCCAAAGAATGGGAGAAAACATTTAGTTCTTGGTAAAGAACTTACATCCAGAATACATAAAGAATCCTCAAATCTAGGGGATCCCTGGGTGGCTCAGCGGTTTAGTGCCTGCCTTTGGCCCAAAGCGCGATCCTGGAGCCCCGCGTCGGGCTCCCGGCATGGAGCCTGTTTCTCCCTCCTCCTGTGTTTCTGCCTCTTTTTCTCTCTCCCCCCCCCATATATATATAGCATAAATAAATAAAAAAAATAAAAATAAATTAAAAAAAAAAGAATCCTCAAATCTTAACAATAAGTAAACAAATAACCCAATTTAAAAATGGCCTAAAGGGATCCCTGGGTGGCTCAGCGGTTGAGCACCTGCCTTCGGCCCAGGATGTGATCCTAGTATCCTGTATCATGCTCCCTGCATGGAGCCTACTTCTCCCTCTGCCTGTGTCTCTGCCTCTCTTTCTCTCTCTCTCTCTCTCATGAATAAATAAAATCTTTAAAAATATTTTTTTAAAAATGGCCTAAAGATCTGAACACCCATTTCACCAAAGAGGATATTCAAACAGCAAATAAGCACATGAAAAGGTGCTCAACATCATTAGTTATAACAGAAATGTTAATTAAAAACCACAGTGAGAAAACCAGTACAGCTAACACCAAAACCAGCCTAACATACGACAGACATCAGAATTGTGGTTAACGTTAGAAGGGAATGACACAAAGGGGCTTCTATGATGCTAACAATGATTTCTTGATCAGGTTGGTAAGTTACACAAAGGTGTTCATTTTGTAAAAGCTATATACTTAAATGACCATTTTTCTCTATGCACATTATACTACATTTAATAAGTACACATTAAAAAAGAAAGTAACTTCCCTTAATAGATTCCACATGTAGGTGGCTTCACCAATGAATTCTACCAAACATTTAAGGAAGAAAAAACACTAATTATTAATAAACTCTTTCAAAAAATACATTCTTATTTAATAATGCCAGCATAACCTGGTACTAAAAACTGACCAGAACACTATACAAAAGTTAAATTATCAAGACGATCTTTCTCATGGACAGAGCTGCAAAAATCCTAAACAAAGTATTAATAAACAGAACCTAATAATATATATGCTGATAATATACGTATCATTCCAGAAATACACTTAACATTTGAAAATGATCAGTGTAATTCATCAACAGGAATAGCCTAAAGAACAAACTTAATATGATTATCTCAATAACAGGAAAAACATTTAATAACAAGATTCATGAGAAACACACCTACACACTCTCTCTTTTAACAAAGGAGGAATAGGAAGAAACTTCTTTAGTCTGATACCAAGTAATCTAAAAAACAAATTTACAAGCTAACATCATACCTAATAGTGAAATATTCAAAGTAATCTCTGAAAAGGGGAAAATAAGACAAGGATGTCTTCTGTTACCACTTCTTTTCAACATTCTATTAGAGATCCTAGACAGTGTAATAAGAGGAGAAAAGTTATAAAGGATTAGAAAGGAAGAAAGAAAACTGCCATTATTCATAGTCTGCATAATTATACAGTTAACCATTGAACAACATAGAGGAGTTAGGAGTGCTGACACCCCTAGCAGTCAAAAATTGGCATTTAACTTTTGATTTCCACAAAACTTTATTAATAGTCTACCGGGATTTGGGGGTTTTGTTGTTGTTGTTTAGATGGAGAGAGAGCATATGCTCTTAAAAGCAGGAGGGAGGGGCAGAGGGAGAGGGAGAATCCTAAGCAGGCTCCACGCTCAGCACAATAGAGCTCAATCTTATGACCCTGAGATCATGACCTGAGCCCAAATCAAGAGGTGGATGCCTAACCAACTGACCCACCCAGGCACCCCCATAGCCTGTTGTTGACTGGAAACCTTACTGGTAACGTAACAGTCGATTAACACGTATTTTGTATGTTATGTGTATCATTTACTGTATATTCTTACAATAAAGTAAGAAAAATATTAAGAAAATCACAAAAAAAAAACACATTTACAGTACTATACATATATCTATTGAGAAATCCCACAAATGGGCCTGCATATTTCAAACCTATGTTGTTCAAGAGTCAACTGTATATGTAAAAAATCTGAATCTACTTAAACTATTAGTCTCAAAGGATAAATCATTAGTCTCTACAAATAAAACTAAAATAATTATACTGCAATCCAAAAGAATCTACAAGAGAATCTACAACGTAAGCAAGAGAATGAATAAACTGCAGTATAATTAAATCTTATATAGCACTGAAAATGAATGTGTTACTACAAACAACTTGAGTGAATTTCACAGAATCTGTACACTGGAAAGAATACATGCTGGAGCCCTCCATTTATACAATCAAAAATAGGGCCACCTGGGTGGCTCAGTGGTTGAGTGTGTGCCTTTGGCTCAGGTTGTGATCCCAAGTCCTGGAGTCCTGGGATCTAGTCCTGCATCAGGCTCCCTACAGGGAACCTGTTTCTCCCTCTACCTATGTCTCTGCCTCTCTGTGTCTCTCATGAGCAAATAAAATCTTCAAAAAACAAGAACAAAAAAGACTTTATACAATTAAAAACAGGCAAATTAATCTCTGATGTTAAAACCTCATCATCAGTGATTACCACTAGAGGGGAAGGAGGGAGTAATTTAGAAAGGACTGGTAGGGTGTTTAGGGGAGTTTTCTAGAGTCTGTAATATTTTACTTTTTGACCAGGGTGATAGTTCAGAGCTGACCATATGTATGTTAACTTTGTGAAAATTCACTGAGCCACATGCTTTTGATTTGTGCACTTTAACATGTACATATGTTATACCTTAATGTTTCAAAAACATTTATCGTAAGTTTTTCTAATCATACTCCACTGCTTAAAACATTTTAAAGGCTTCCCATGGCCTAAAAGTAAAATCTATTAGGCATGGCAGATGATATGACTGCTACCTCTAACTTAATCCTCATTCTGTCCATCCCACATATACACTTTATATTCTAATTTACCAAATTGTTTATGAGTCCAGTACATGATATGCTGCTTCAAACCTTTGTCTTTCTTTATTTAAGATTTTTTATTTATTTATTTTTGTAGCAATCTCTACACCCAACATGGGGCTTGAACTCACAACTCCAAGATCAAGAGCCACACACCACCAACTGAGCCAGCCAGGCACCTCCAAATCTTTAAATATTGTGTTCATTGCTTGAAATTCTCTTCCTCTTTACACCTCACTCACACTCACCACACCCCGGTCCCTGCAATTTCCACCCAACTTGGATATTAGCTCCTCCAAGACCCTTCCCGTTGCTGTTCCCCAAAGTTAATTGCTCTCTTTTCTATACTCAGTGATCCATTATCACACACATTAAGCTACAGTGTTAATTATGTATACATCTGTCCATCCTCTACTATATTAGAACAACTCAAGCACAAGGTCTACATTTTCAAGTTGCCAATGCCCAGCACAAGGCTTGGCACACGGAAGCCACCTAATAAATTTCACCATTACATAAATGGTGAAAAAATTAAGACAGTAAAGCCATCTAGAAGGAAGCCTAAGTATTTTTAATTTTCTCCACAATACACGCCACAGCAATGAGCACACAACAGATACACAACAGTGATGGTTTAGTTAGTAGAACCTGTGCCAAAACTCAGTACCATAGACAAAATACTCTCTTCAAAACATGCACTCTAAACATAAGGTATTTATGTCCTACCAGAAGTGTAAAAGGTCATCTTTCTTTTATACACACAAATTTCCAGAGTTTTTAGCTAGAAGAAACCAATTAAGATCACCTAGTCAAAAGCTTTGGAAAGAACCTACACTATACCCAGAGAAATTAAGTGGCTTGCTCAAGGTCAAGACTAAGGCCAGAAGGGCCAAGACTAGGACTCAGATCCCCCTACTTCTCATTTAATGCTTTCTCACAATCCATGCAGCCTCCCTTTTGTACCATGTGGCTCCTAAAAGTAAATGGTATGATTGCTGTACGTTTTTTTGCTCTACTACTTTAGATTAACATGGTTAGTATCCTCATTTACAAGACTTTTTTTAAATTTTAAAATTTGGCTTTAACACATGAATACTAAAAGTACCAACAAGTTCAACCAAGAAAACACCATTTCCAGTTCCAATATCAAGCACTGAAGCATCCAATGGAATCTTGCGTTTTTGCATCCACCTTATTAGCCGATTCATACTCTCTTCTCCAAACCTATTAGAAATAGAGAATCCGTTAATCAAATACCAGAGGAATATAGAGCAAAGATTACAACTATATTCCATTAAAGCAGCTTATTCAAAATGCTTAATTAAGCCTTTTTTGAAAGGAAGAAGTAGCATCTGTGACTTAAGCTACACCTCTACTGTTATTGAGAATACTACCAAGAACAGAACAGAATAGATAAGGTCACTATGTTACTTATTAATGCTTCCCTACATCAGCATTAACTTGATTATGTTGAGAGCTCAAAATTTTATTGCTTATTGTAAAAGGACAATCACAGGATGACAGCAATTTCCTAATACAGGTTTCCCCCACTAACTGCAAGCAGAGCATTGCTATGAAACCTTTCCTGAGGCGAAAGGCCACAAAACAAAGAAGCAATGACCAATAATTTATACAGTAAAATTTTTTGAGCATTCTCAGACCCCAAAAATAACCTCTCTTAGACCTGATACCTTGAGATATATCTTGCTAAAAGATGCACAAAATAAATCATGATAAAGCACAGACTCTCACAGATACTGTTTAAAGCTATGACAGCTTGATGCTGGAATGCTGAGTATAGTTCCTGGGGAAGGAGCTTGGCAGAGCCACTCTTGCTGCTAGGAGTGTGTACTGCCTCTCTAATGGCTCACTGAAAAACAGTGAACTCTATTTTTGCTTTTCACCTTTTTTCGTGCAAGCAAAGATCTTTAGATTCCTTTCAGTTAGCAAAACAGGTACTAATGCCTTTCATAAAACCCAAGTGGCATAATGTGAATTTTCAAAAAGCAGGGAATACCTATATTCTTATCAAATTTAAGTCTTGACCATTAAAAGAGAGACGAGAGAGATTTTTTAAATCTACCCACTAACGCCAGAATCAGTCCACGATTCCCAAGATTCCTGAGTTGTCTTTCTTTGGGGGTAAGCACTTAAAAGACACACACACACAAATACACACACACACACACACAACATTCTCTCTCTCTCCTGAATCATAATTCCACTATTTTTTTCTAACTCACCAGATTTCTCCTGTATCTCCATATTCTTGAAAAGTTTGCAGCTCTCTCTCATAGACAGCATCCCAACTATATAATCAAATGCAAAGCAAGATTCTTGAATCAAACTGTATTACAATTTAAATGTTTCTAATACATTGTAAATATTCATGACAGAAGTTTCGAGCATTATCAGTGTCATCAGTACGTGCACATAGATCCATCTCTTAACATCCTTGTGTTGAGAGAATGAAAGACACAGACAAGCAGAGTGAGTTTACACATGTAAAGCACTGAGTACAATACCTGACACATAAAAAACACTATACATCTTAGCTCAAAAAAAAAAAAAATACAAACAACTCTTTGTCCAAGGATCCCTGAATCCCCAAACACAAGTCCGAAACTTCACTGTACAGGCAGAGTGTCATTACAGCACATTTCAGACTAGAACGTGCAGACACGCAGATTTTTCTACCAATACAGTGGTTACTCACAAAGAACTCAGCAGACACAAGCTTTGCCTGAAGGTTAAATTCTAAGATTTACTCCTTTGAAGTAATAGTTTCCCCCTCCCCAGCATTTGCCTTCTCTTCTGGGTTCCTCTCTCTGGAATCGCTGCACCCTTGCAATCCTCTCTCATCCTTACCTTTCATTCGTTCACCCATCTATTAATTGGCTCGGGATTACTGAGCATCGGTCTGAGTGAGGTCACATCACTTTCTCCCCGCTTCCTCCTCACGTCATCCTTCAGTCCCACCTCTTCCAACCCCATCCCCGGAGCCTTAGCAGTGCCCCCAACCCTGGCTCGCTAGCCCTACGGTCGGCCCCGCCCCCCCTTTCCCCACGCCTGCCCCTCGGGTTCAAGACCCCCTCAAGGCCAAGCTCCCAGGAGCTTCAGAGCCCATTCAGCACCCCACGAACCCCCTGACACGTCGACTCTTTGAAGTGCCTCTTAACCACCTCCAGGGTGGCCCCTCGGGGATTCCAGCCGGTCCACTGTTACCTTCCTCACTTCACGCCCCGCCCCGAGGTCATCCCCATCTTCCAAGGCCCTATCCCCCTCCCCTCCCCCTCCTATCCCCTCCCCTCCCTATCCCCTTCCCTCCCCTTCCCTATCCCCCTCCCCTCCCTATCCCCTCCCCTCCCCCTCCCTATCCCCTCTCCCCATCCCTCCCCTTCCCCTCCCCTCCCTATCCCCCATCCCCTCCCCTCTCCTCCCCATCCCCCCTCCCTATCCTCCTCCCCTCCCCCTCCCCTCTCCATCCCCCCTCCCGTCCTCTTCCCCTCCCCTCCCTCTCCCCCTCCCATCTCCTCCCTTCCCCCTCCCTATCCTCCTCCCCTCCCCCTCCCTATCCCCATCCCCTCCGTATCCCTTCCCCTCCCCTCCCCCTGCCTATCCCCCTCCCCTCCCCTCCCCTCTGTATCCCCTCCCCCTCCCTATCCCCATCCCCTCCGTATCCCTTCCCCTCCCCTCCCCCTCCCGACCCCCCTCCCCTCCCCTCCCCTCCCGACCCCCCTCCCCATCTCCATCCCCTCCTTATCCCCCTCCCATCCCCTCCCCTCCCCCTCCCTTTCCCCTCCCCATCCCCTCCTCGGGGCCCAGCCCGGGCCGTGCGGCTCACGCTCCCCTGCCGGACGCCACACTCACTGCTCTCGGGTCCCCAGAGCCGACGGGGCGAAGCCATCCCCTCCCGGGCTGCCCCTTCCGGACCGCACCGCGGCCCCAGCGCCGCCCCCGCCGCCGCCGCTGCAGCCGCCGCCGCCCGCGCCCGAGTTCATCCCGCTCGGCGCCCCGGAGGGCCGTTGGGGCCGCCATAGAGACGAGGTACGGGCAGAGCGGACGCGCGGGCGGGCGCGTCTAGGCGGCGGGAGGCCGCCCTCTCTACTGCTCCTGGCCTCCCGCTTTCCCTGCTCGGCTTCGGTCCCGGGTGGAGAGACTCCCAAGCCCCGACCTGGACCGCACCGACGGGGCCTCGCCCCCCCCCCGCCCCCTGCTGCCAGGGTCAGATGCACCTTTCCTGAAGTGCCCGCCTATGTGCTGTGTAACGTTAAGGGACTGTGAAAAAGAAACAGGTCCAAAATGGAGTCAGCTTTGCTCAACATCACTGAGACTTAATATGCAACTTAACTGCACTTTCAGCCTCTTCCAGGAATGGAATTTTAAGCCAATCAGCCTGGAATTTTCTGGTGGGCACGGGTGAGGTCATCTGCCTGCTAGATTCCTCCTGCCTTCCCCTAAGGGAGAGTGACCTTACCTGAAATAACCTTTTTCATAATGATGACGATGTATTGAAGTATAGTTGACAAGTGTTGCATTTGTTTGAGGTGGTGCAATAATCCATTCTTCACCCCCCTAAGCCCCCTTGTCTTCTGCCTATAAAAACCTAACATTTTGTACGACTCCTCAGAGCTCCCTTCTACCCACGGAGTCATGAATCACTCAATGAAGTCAATTCAATGTTTGAAGTTACTCAGCTTCGAGGGTGCCTGGGCGGCCCAACCTGTTAAGCCACTGACTCCTGACTTTGGCTTAGGTCATGATCTCAGGGTCATGAGATGGAGCCGGGCACTGGGCTCCGCACTCAGCTCAGAGTCTGCTTGAGATTCTCTATCTCCCTATCTCTCTGCCCTCTTCTTCCTCCCTTGCACTGCCCTCTCTCGGTCTCTCTCCATAAGTAAATAATAAATAAAATCTTCAACGACAACAAAACGTTACTCAGCTGCATTTTTTAAAACAGGACTATTCAAGGTACTACATTTTGGGGAAAGGCTGGCAATACGAAATCCACACTATCTGAGGCCAACACTGCTCACTGCAGATGCACAGACCACCTCATGCATGCAAGTCGCAGTCAGATCTGGAAAGCGGTTGGGACAGTCCACTGCATTATTTGGCTTCCTGGTCAGAAATTTAATTGGTAGCTGAGATTTTGCCTTAAAAATAGCATTCTGCCCTCTTGGGACTTGACATCACTGGTGGACATAGGAATTTATGCCCAAGAAACAAATGCCTTATAGACACCACCATACCACATCCTCCCACCCCCAAAATTTTCCTTTTTAAAAAAAAAAAAAGATTTTATTTATTTATTTATTCATGAGAGAGAGAGAGAGAGAGAGAGAGAGAGGCAGAGACACAGGCAGAGGGAGAAGCAGGCTCCATGCAGTGAGCCTGACATGGGATTTGATCCTGGGTCTCCAGGATCATGCCCTGGGCCGAAGGCAGGCACTTAACCGCTGAGCCACCCAGGAATCCCCAAAATTTTCCAACCATGGGAATCGAAGTGTCATAGAACAAAGTGCTGGAAATCAAGATGCCCGAATGCCCGTCTTAGCTCTGTCCCTGACCAGGCACCTGACCTTGTCCAAGATTCCTAGCCTTTGTGTGCTTCAACTTCCTCACCTGCACCATGCTTGAAATAGATGGTGACTGGTTCTACCAGTTGCTCCCAACCAATGAACCTGAGATTCATCTGCCTCTTGGTTTGACTACCACTAGGAGATCTGCAGTATAATGTGAGAAATCGGGGTGCCTGGGTGGCTCAGTTGGGCATCTGCCCAGGTCGTGCTCAGGTCACGATCCCGGGGTCCTGGAATGGAGCCCCATGTCAGGCTCTCTGCTCTACAGGGAGTGTGCTTCTCCCTCTTCCTCTGCCCCTATTTGTGTGCTCTCTCATTTACTCTGTCTCTCGAATAAATAAATTAAATCTTCATTTTAAAAGAAGATTTTATTTATATATTTGAGAGAGTGTGAGAGAAAGAAACAAGGAGCAGGGGGAAAGGCAGAGGGAGAGGGAAGAACAGGCTCCCGGCTGCACAGGGAGCTCCAATGCAGACCTCCATCCCGGCATCCTGGGATCATGACCTGAGCCAAAAGCAGGCTCTTAACTGACTGAGCCACCCAGGTGCCCCATTAAATTAAATCTTTTGAAAATTAATAATAATGTGAGAAATCTTAGGTGCCAAAGGTCTGGGGGTTTTCTGTAGCAGCAATGAACTACTGATAGTCCAATGTCCTCGTAAGGCTTTCAAAGACCCCTAGAAAGGCTGCCTTCCAACCAAAAGGAATGTTTCCTAGACCATGTTTCTGTTGACTCAGCAAATAGAAGTCTAGTTAGTGCCTAGAGGTAAACAGCATCAACAGTTCACAGAAATCCCAACTGAGACCCAATGTGCATCTCCTCCTACACAGGATGTTCTAAAATGTTCAAGCAACCGCTGGTGATAGAATACAGTAAAAGACAGATGGGGATCCATGTGTATAGTGATTAAAGGGCTGAAGAAAAAGCATAAGTAACCTTATTACAGTGTAATAAAACCACCAAATGCCACAGCCAAATAGTGCTGCCCTGAGCAAATGGTTGTTTTGATCTTTTCTAGACTCTGGATGCTAGAGAAAGCAAGCTTGAATGTGACTAAGTCTTAAAAAGTTTTAGGTTCTAATTAAGAAGTACCCGTGAAAGATAAGGCCATCTTCAATCTGGTGTCTTGCCAACACTTAAGATGTTTTTGCTGTGTGTGTGATGAACGCTATAAACAGTTGTTGGTATGGAGCCCTGGAAAAACCCTCTGTTTATACAGAGTTCCTTCTCTGGCTCCAGGATTACTCTGGCTGTTTAGTCCTGCCGGCTGTGTGGGGCACCACCTCTGATCACCCAGGGCAACAGGATTCTTAGTGGAGGGTGGAGAAGCTCAATCTGAGCGGAGCTGCCCATCACCAGGGAGAAGGTGGAACGTGCCAAGGAACACAGTCCCTCTCACCAGGTGCCCATTATATAGGTCAGGGGGAGCTCTTTGGGTATTTTGGGTTGCGTCGTCCCCATCTCATACTGCCAATCCCTGCAGCGTAGAAACCTGCTCACCTACAACTCCCTTGACACTGTGCTTTCAAGAGTTCTCAAAGACTTCATAATTGGCAAAACAAGGGTTCAGTTCCAGGCTTTACCTTCCTTGATCCTCTGTAGTGATCACGGCTTAGGATGCCATTCTGGAAAACCCCTCCCTACTTTCCCACCTGCTCTGAAGTGAGTCTTTTAGAAAGGGAGGTAGGTATGCAGCTCTAGAATTGGACTCAGGTTTTGAGTCCTGACCCTATCATGTGTGACCACAGGCAAGTTCTTTAATTTCTCAGAGCTGCAGTTGGCACATCCTTTCATAATAGTGCCCACGGCATAGGGCTGCTGTAGACATTAAATGAGAGAATTCCTGTGAAATCCTACGTGCCTGACACATGGTAAATGCTCAATAAATTCTAGTTCTGTTTCATTGGTTATAAAATAGAGTTGAAAATAGATCTATTTCAAGGGCGCCTGGGTGGCTTAAGTCAGTTAAAGCCTCTGCCTTCAGGTCAGGTCATGGTCTTGAGGTCCTGGGAAAAGCAAACTCAGACATGGAGCTCAATCCCAGGACCCGGAGATCATGACCTGAAACGAAGGCAGACACCTAACTCACTGAGCCACCCAGGAGCCCCAGGCTTATTCCTTTTATTAGCTTTTGTCTCCATCCCCCTCTAGTACCTGCTGATAAAACACAACCATCTTCTGTGGGACCCACCCATTTTTTTATGCAACATTCACTCAACAGTCATTTATTGGACAATACAATCAAGTGTTGGGCAGTATCTACATGGCAGGCATTATTCCAAATGCTGGAGATATATCAGTAAGCAAATCAAAGGTGAATTCTTGTTTTCATGCAATTCAGAATACACCAGTAGAGGAACAAAGGCAATATGCTGGAGAAATGAATAAAATGGAGATGACATTATGTGGTACTAATTGGGAAAGGGGAAGGAAAATAGAAGGAGAAGAAGACTGAGAACATTGGATGAGGGCTGCAGTCTGATTAGGGCAATAAGGAAAGATTCTCTGACAGGGTAGCACCAAGTGAAAACCTACAAGAGGTTGTCATAGGTTGTGTCCCCAGGGAAGCATAGTCTAATACTGAGATGAACATTTAAGGAGTTTACTAAGGAGTGCTCCCAGGATGGTGATCCTGGGGAAGGGGAAGGGAAAGAAACAGAACTGGAGGGAGGAAGTGGTTAGCCTAGGGTACTGTTAAAATAGCACCTCAGCCAGCACCACTTTCCCCTATAGAGCACTTTGGAGCTGGGCTGACCCTTCGGAATTGCCCCAAATTGGAGGGATGGAGGTGGGCCTTTATCCATCTACATTGATACAGCCTTAAATGTTTGTTGCCCAGAAAAGGGGGAATGACTAGGCAGTGATTCTTACACTGAGGGTAATTCCAGGAGAAAGCAGACAACTCCCCCTGGTAGCTGAATAATAAATCTATCAATCCCACAAGGGTGGGAATGGGTCACACATCATGGCATCTATAGAAGAGATAAAGGAGTAAACCTTGCAACAATCTGTGAGAAGAGTACTCTAAGCAAAGAGAACAGCAAGTGCAAAGGCCCTGAGGTAGGAGGAGATAGGCATAGCCAGGGAGCAGAAGACTTGTGTAGCTGAAGCAGAAGGAACAAAGGGGGCAGCAACAGGAAGGGAAATCAATTAATGGTTGATTCATAGGAGCCAGGTCATTACAAGGGTTTGGGGTTAGACCAAGAAGCAATGTGATTTAAATTTTGAATTTCAGTTTTAGCATGACCAGTTTAATTGGTATGTTGAGAATAGGTTTGGCAGGGAAGGCGTTAAAGGCAGAGACTGTAATACAGGGTTTCTCAATTTCATTCCACTGATGTGGGGGTAGGGCCTCTCGTTTGCTTTGTAGGATGTTTAGCAGCATTCTTGTCTTCTAACCACTAAATCACCAGTGGCACCCTTCCCCCCAAGTTG